CAGATGCCGGGACAGCAGGTCAACCTCCACATCCAGGCCGTCGTCCTGGTCCTCCGACGCCTGGCCAGCGAGCTGCTCCTGCAGGTAGTGGTCAAAGTCCGAGAAGCAGGCCAGCCAGGCGGAGCACAGCCGCGTGGACACCGCATGCGGCCCAGGGAGCGCCAGATCGAAGGCATCGGCGGGGTCCTCCGCTCCCACGGCCCCGGCCGCGGTGAAGGTCATCGAGGTGTACGCGTGCTGCTCGGCGGTGGGGCGCGTCAGGCCAGACGGCACGGCCCGCAGGGCTGGCTTGACCAGCGGCAGGTGCGGTGGCATGCACGCGAAGTCGGCGGCCGCGGCCAGCAAGGCCTGGCGCACTGCCGCCCGGTCGGCCCAGCGAGCATCCAAGATCTCGGCCGGGTCGGCCCGAGGCGCGGGCGGCTCCGGCGACCGCGGATCCCCCCGGGCCAGGCCCACCGACGCCAGCATGACCTCGCTGTTCCCGCCGGACAGCGTGCCAGCCGGCCACGGCTGGGACAGGAGCAGCTGCACCGGCCACAGCTCCGCCTCAAGGGAGCCATCAGGGCCCTCGGTCGGGGGCACGCCCCGGGCCAAGTTCCGGTCATGGACGCCCTCATGCCGGTGGTCCGAGTACAGCTGCTGCGTCACGGCCAGCGACGATTGCAAGTCGCTGTGCAGCACCAGCGACACGCCAGTCTCCTCAAAGGTCTCGCGGGCGGCCGCCGCCTCCGCACGCTCACCCGGCTCCACATGCCCGGCCACCAGGCTGTACACCCGGCGCTGGCGCAGGGACACCTCGGTTCCGGGGCCGGGCGGCGCACTCGCGCCCGGGGGAACCAGCATTCGGGGCGGCGGGGCCGGCAGCAGGGCATTCCGCCGGTTGCGCACCAGCAAAATCTTCCTCAAATCCGGGGAGACAGTCTGCCCGGCCCCGGCCCCGGCAGGAAGGTGTGAGAGACAAGGCACATGGAGGAAGGGGGCAAGGGGCGGAGAGAGAAGGAGAAGGGACCGGAAAGCAGCCGCATGCCGGGCAAAACAAAGGCGAGGCAGCCGCGGCAGGCCCAAGGGCAGGGAATCAGCCGGGGGGGGGGGGGGGGGGGGGGGGATCCAC